ACTGCTGAGTTATACCTGACAAGAAAAGAAATTTTATTTATTTTAGAAAATTTGAAGTTAATAAAAAAGTCGTACGATAATATTTGAAAGACTCTTTTTATTCCAAATCCAACTCCCAAATTTGTCAAAACTCCCCACCAAATTCTTTATTCCTCCAATTTTTTAAAGACTTTCAAAGTTCAAAATTTTGCATGATTAGGTTTGGTATCAGATTTCCAGAGATTTGCTTTGAAAAATTCATCAACTTTGAGTTATCGTCTCAAATCTACATCAAAATCAAACAACTTGAATATCTGCTCAAAAATCAGCAATTTCTCATCGATTATATACAAAAAATTCAGTTAACTTGATGATAAGAATTGCAGGGTTGCTACTTTAATTAATTTTTTTTCTTTTGTTACTTTTATCGGCAATATTTCATATTTTTACAGCAAACAAATTTTGGTCATGTATTTTTGCGATTGCTTTCGTGTATATTTTTACTTAATTGGAAGACTTAAGTCCTTAAAAGGTAAATCATTGTCTGATTGGATACGACAACTTGAACAAAAATGAACATTTTTGTGATTGGAAACGACAATGTGTAAAATGGAGCTTTGTTTCCAATTGGACACAAGTTTTCTATAAGAATTCCATAAAAGGAAACTGAAATCTGATTGGACACGACTACAATCCAAATAAGAAAATTCACTCTGATTGGTTAAACTCACACATTCCAGTTGAAGGTACCCCTCTCTCTTAACTAAAAATCATTTTATTTTCAACTTAACTACCGTCAACTACCTCCTCTCTCAGCTCTAAATACATTAATTTCAAGTTAACCACCTTCAACTTTCTCCCTCTCAACTGTTAACTTTGTTTATACTGTGTGTCGTTAACTCAACTTATTGCTCAAAATGATCTTCTCAATACAAAACAACAACCTTATGTTCTCAGTAGAATTTTTGGCTGATTTGTACAAATCCAAGTGGGAAAAACAGTTTGTGGAGTTTTTCTGTCACGAATGGACATCCCAATCAAAGTCTGGCACACGCTGGAAGTGTTGCGCAGGGATTTTAACGAACATTATATAACGCAAGTACCCCCTACAGAGAACCAACTTGGAGACATGCAATTGATGGAGGAATGAACTACCCCGAAACTCCTGACTGTAGATATGCGGCTCAATCATTCGACGATTTCCTCTTTCCTTGGGAAGAGGGATCTGTAGACAACCAAATTACAATCGAAGAAGATGAGGGGTTCTCTGAGCCAAGAACTTCAGTCATCGAACCACCAGTGATGGATGCAAGACCAGCTTTGCGCTCCAATGAGAACTTGCAAAATTTTGAGAACTCAGCTACTCGACAACTCTTTGATTTGTAAATAAGTTGGTTATTGTCTTGTGTTTTGTAATTTGACTTCTTTGCATCTATTAATTGTATTATAAAGAGATAGAGACAAAGAGATCATAGAAAAGTTTATTAAGAAATTTCAAAGGTGAAACTTTGTTAAAAAGGAAACTAATTATGCATCTGGTAAATACTTTTATAGAATTTTATTAGAAGAATGTTCAAAGAAGAAAAAGCAGATCATAAAGCAAAATCGGAGGAAGATTCAGATGAGGAACCACAAACTTACTTGACTTATGTAAACAATCTACCACATTCTCTATTCTCCAACTGTGAAGTTTATTTTAACAATACAATGGTTTACAATGCCAATGGATTATATCCTCATAAGGCACAGATATCGAACGAATTCAACTCGTCAGCAGTGAGCAATAAAGGGATACTTGCCTGTCATGGAGACAGTTTTGAAAAATATCCTGATTCATTTGAAATGCATTCATTCTCTGATAGAGCAAATTCTTGGGAACAGGGATAACTTTTTCACTCTATGGGAGGCTCTCCATTGATTTGCTTACTTGCGAAAAGTTGTTGCTACCAAATACCAAAGTTCGAAATAAATTTATTCGAGCTAGATCTAATTTTACATGCTATCTGATAATCCAAATGTCAGTCTGAAAATTGTTGATTGTTCGTTGTTTACTAGAAGAATTTTACTGAACCTAATCATCAATACTTGCGATGGAATCTGGAAAAAGAACCTGCTCGATACATTTACATGGAAACTATAGCAAGAACCTTTATCATTCCTCCTCGTCAAAACCAATTCATCCTAGAATTTATATTCATTAGCGCTCCAATAAGAAGAGTAGCTGTTGCAATGAATACAATTTCAGCGGCTGCAGGATCTTTTCATGAAAACCCTTTGAGCTATCAGCAATTTCATTTAAGAGAACTTAGAATTATTGGGGCTGGAAAAGCAATTGTTTCATTAGATACAACTTCGCCTTGTCGACCTTATGTTCGAAAATGAACGCAATGCAGTTTAACGAAGAGTTCCCAGCTCTTCTTATAGAAGATTTTAAAAATCACTATATTCTAGTTTTTGACTTGACTTCACTACAGGATGCAGCTGAACAGTTGCACTATCCAGAACTTAGTGGAGAAAGCTTGAGATTAGAAATGTTTTTCCAGTTTCCCTTGGAGCAAGTAACGGAAGTGATAGTCTTGGGAGAAAGACTATCAAATGTTCAAATTGACAATTTCGGAACAGTCGCTAAAAACGTTCAGTTTTTTTGAGTTTTCAGGTTCCTATAAAAAAATTGTAGCTTTTTTGGGACTTTTCCATGTTATTGTATCTGCACTATCTATTTTGTTTTTCTTCAGACCTAAACCTCCAGAAAATGCAGATAATGAATGCTGTTTAAATGAAAACCCAAGAAAATTCTTCAATTTAGACAGTAAACCAGTGTTCAATAACTTTTGCCCAGTTCACAAGTTTTGTGTATGGGACTTTGTTGATTCAATACCTAAATGAGCGTAAGTTAATAACTTTAGTTTTTTTTAACTCGAATTACAATATCAAACTTTCTATTTTTTTGTTTTGGATGAAAATCAGCTAACAGTTGCAAAGATGGATAATTTTTCACTTCTGCAAATCATTGAAAGAATTCCTGAACTCAGGTTCAAGTACATGGGATCTTACACCTATGATAAAGTACCTCAACTAACAAGATATTCTTTTGCAATTGTTAACTCAGCTCCAAGCAACGATAGAAGGGAGCAATGATGATAGCTCCATCGGACAACACTTACTTTTTCGCTGATTCTTTGGGTCGAAAAAGAACAGCTTATTCCTTTCTAACAAAAAAGTATCGGCTAATGGTTCCCCGAAAGCTACAAGAAACTGATAATTTTTTGTGGTTTTTACGAAATTTATTCAGCATTTCTTCTTTTTAAATTCTACCAGACAAACTTGAATAATAATCATGATGTGCATATTTTGAATTTTATAAGTAATTTTATGTGAATGTGTAGTTTTTTTTATTTGTATGTGTAAATTATGGCAGTAAATTTACTATAAGATGCGGTGATTTATATATTTTCATTGTAATTGAATTTTTTTCCCCAAAAAGTTTGGTTTTTTCGAAATCTCTGTAGGTTTCAGCATTGTTTCACATAGATAGAAAGTAAGATTATCTATTAAATTAGGTCAAATAATAGCTAACCTTATAGTGTTTTCAAGTTTTTTTTGATAAAAAATCCAAGTTTTTGCACAAAAAATCTTGCCATTGACTTACCATGCACCAAAAAACTAAAAATATAACCTTATTTCTACAATCTTCAAATAATTAACAATTAATTATTCCTAATTAGATAACGCGCGCCGAGATTTTTGCGAAAAAAAACTAAACATTTCCACACAAAAATCAAAAAAAAAAATTTCTTACCAGTATCTTACCATCACACTGAAACCTACCATTGGTATTCCCTATCTTATTACATTGTAGACTCTATACCCAATGTTAATACATAGCATGGAGGACCGGAAATCTATAACGTATCTTAAAACATGGGGTCCTCCATGCATCCCCCCCCCCCACTTAACCTCCAACATCTACTACTTCTCACGTATAATCTGCATTTGCAGAATATTTGCATGCGATAATGCTTAATAGTTCACTGATAACTATGAATACAGAACCAGGAATAATTTGAAAAAAGCTTTTTTAGTCAAAAGATTTCCTGGTCAAAAATAGTGGCCTGATTCTTTTTGACAGGTCAAAGATCATATCCCCATATCTAAACTGATTCATCAAGGCACGAAAAAGAGAAACTAACTCTGGCAACATCGCAATCGCGTGTAACTTTTTCGACAAAAAAATTGAGGACAAATTTTAATGATTGATCTAAGGTTACATAGCCTTAACGGAGCTTTTGAACTTTGAAGTATTTGAATAATTCTCAAACTCTTGAAGCAATTTTCCTAATTTTTTCGGACTAATCTTTTACAGCCGTTTTGTGAACTCATTCAGCTCACGTTAAATTGAAATAAATTGAGTTTTCAAATCAAAGCTTACTGTTTTAGCTACTGTTGCTCTACAGAGAAAAGTTGCAATTTTTGTTCTCATTTTTCATCAGCTACACCTCGCATATAATGCTTGGAATCGTATCTGCAAACATGAATAGTCGCTTGGTTTCACACCACAACTTCGTGCGGCGACAAATCGTAAGAGACAACAATTTGTAAAAGGCGACAATTCGTAACAAGCGACAACTTATAACAACAGTTTAAGTGGCAAACACTACTTTTTGCGCACTATTTCTCTCGTGCTGGATGTAAGCGCAGCTGAGCGAACCGGAGCAAGCGTATTTATTTTGCCAATGCCTTTTTGCGAATTGTCGCCTGTTACGAATTGTCGCCTGTTACGTAACAGTCGACAAATCGTTGCGAGTTGTCGCCTGTTACGAATTGTCGACTGTTACGAATTGTCGCCTTACCCCACAATTTATGCTCTTCTGTTTTGAAATGTAAGTTAAATTTTTGTTCATTTTAAACGACATATGTTAATGCTGTTTTATGATACGGTCTTCACCCCCCATAAACGGTAAAAACAAACATACAAAAACGCAAACATGAATTTTGAAGAAAAGGCTAAGTTTTTTATTTAGGTTACAAGATTTTTCAGCTTGACTTTGAGGTGAAATGGATTCTTCTATCCAAAAATCGGAAAGGGATAAGGCAGCGCTGGCCATGAAAACAGGAGAAAAAGAAGAATCAGAAGATGAAAAAGAAGAATATAAAAACAACGACGACCACGATGACGAAATTGAAGAAGAAGGAGAAGAAGAAGAAGAAAACAATGAAGAAGAAGAAGAAGAAGAAGAAAACAATGAAGAAGAAGAAGAAGAAGAAGAAAACAATGAAGAAGAAGAAGAAGAAGAAGAATTTGAAAATGAAGATGAAGAGGAAGACGACGACAACAGCAATGATAAAAAAGACAAAGAAGAAAACTATGAAGAAGAAGAAGAAGAAGAAGAAGAAGATGATGATGATGAAGAAGAAGATGATGATGATGATGATGATGAAGAAGAAGAAGAAGAAGAAGAAGATGATGATGATGAAGAAGAAGATGATGATGATGATGATGAAGAAGAAGTAGATGATGAAGATGATGAAGGAGAAGAAGAAGTTGACCCAATTTCCTCAAGTGACTCAGCTTCAGCTATCTCTACACCCGGCTCAAGTCCACTTCAGTATAACTTGACTACAGAGAACGAAGCTATCAAAACCGACCAAATGATTGAAACCAGTCCAAGTGGGATAGAACACACTTCTCAAGCCCACATTAATTTCCCTGAAGCGACATGTTCATCAACTGAAGATCCATTTTCGAATCAATTGCCCTCACTTTTTTCTGACAATGAAACTTCCCCAATTGGAATGGAAATCGATTACGCGGATGATGACTCCAAAAAGAAAAGTCGTAAGCGTCCAAGTTCAAGCTCGGCTTGTACGGCTCCCCTTCGAGAAAAGTATTTGCAGACTACCGTGGAATCGCTGACTCACGAACTGGACAAGCTAGAGATCCACTGGCCCGGAGATGGAAGAGCTAAATTTGACGACGAAAAAAAATTGAAGCAATTTATGGAGTACCAGTATCCTGACTGGAAAAATCCAGGGAAGGTAACTTCGATACCCTGTGTCAGGATCCCTCGCATGATAGTTAGAAACGACCAGCTGAGCGAAAAACTGCAGAAACAATATAAATCGCTGCAGAAAGGAGACAAGGCAGAAAATGACATTTACAGGCTGTTTGTGAACGAAGTCTCCACAGATGATTGCGGAATCATGATTTTCCCAAATGTCGATGGAAGTCACATTTTTGAAAAAGGAGGACCAGGCAGCGTAGAAATTGACTTGATAGTTGCACACCCAACGAAAGGGATTTTCGTCTTCAATATCAAAAACGAGCAAAAAGTAAATATCCAAAAGCTTCGAACAGATATTCGAAAGCACACTGACTTCATACGCCATATAATGTGTTATGGTGGTCGCGCTAGTGGTTCATCGGAAAGGATAATTGAAATGAAGGATCTCAATGATGTTCCAATTCACTCTGTCATTTGTTATCTGCCTGGTCATAACTCGTCAATTGTCAAGCTTGCAGATGAAATCAATTTGTACGCCTTGCAACAAAAACAACTTGGCCGGCAGCCTGACCAAGTGATTGTATTTCAAAAGGCAGAGCTTAGCAACTTCGCAGTACGCTGGGCCGAGACAATTCCTAAACTTCGCAGAATGGAAAAAACAGACAGCTTCGACACTTTAGTTGCCCGCCTTGGTGCCCTGAACTCAATGGAGGGAAGCAGCTCACTTCTCCACCAAAAGTTCGTCTCTAATGACATTCAAGCTATTCAAGTAAAAAAAAGCAAACTAGAGCCAATGCTTGCAGATCAAATTGATGGAATTTTCCCTGAAGAAAATGCTCAGTGGCAACAGGATCTGATAACGACCTCAAAAACACTGTACAATGTGTCTGACAAAGGAAAAATACCTGTAATTCTGTGGACGAAAGAACAATTGGAAATCATAGGGGCAGTCTTTAAAGGACTCACAGACCCTTCAAAAGAGAATAAACCTCTTCGCATAAATGTACGAGGGGCAAAAGGAACTGGCAAGACTATGCTGATGGTTCATTTAGCCCAATTAGCCAGGTGCATCTATCAAAATCAGCAAACAGAGGGTCAAGTTATTGTATGCGACGGTTCTACCAGAGCTAAACTTCTGTTTTCATATCTGGAGCAAGCATTTCAGGGATCAGGTATTAAATTAATGAAACACGTCCCTAAAGTTTCCGAACATATAAAAAAGAGTATCATTTTTGTCGACGAAGATCCTTTCACATTCCGTAATGGTGAAGCAGAACTGTCAAGCTGGATAGGCACTGAAGCTCATATATGTATTTTCTCATCGAAGCACCAAAGTATACCAAAGATAGGGCTGCAGAACAATTTAACCACTTTCTACTTGTCGTACACAATGAGGTCAACAAAACAACTTCAAATGTTTACTAATAAGGTTATCAGTAACTCAGCCCCAGGTTACAGAGATTTTAGCGGGTTGCCATGTCACAGTCTAGATGGCACCAACCGACCAGACATCATTTACGAACCATCTACAAATGCATCTGAATTTTCGAAAAAATGTGTCGAGACAGTAATGAAATACGTTGCGTTGTCAAGTAGCATTCTTGTTATAATAGAATTCCTATCGCCACAATGCCAAATTGAAATCCTCTCAATTTTAGAAGCGAAAAAAGTTGCTTTGCTATCAACTTCATATGAAATAAACTCTGATAAAGAAAGAAAAAAACAATTACCTATCATTCAAGTGGAGTCGGTTGAGGATATCTACGGGAGTGAGTTTCAAACTGTTGTTATTATGCTTGAGAGTAAAGTTTTCTTGGGCAAAGACTTATTCTTAGGTAATTTCACAATGGCAGTAACACGTGCCACGACCAATTTGGTCATTGTTGCGGCAGACACTTCTTTTTCCAATGCTGTGCTCGAGGAAAAAGCGATTTCCACATTATTTCGGGTTTTGTGAGGCTTTCCATTCTTCTATTTAAGACAATTAAGAACCAAGCAAAAATGTCCCAAAATTGAACAAAAAATAGAATCGAGATAGAACAAATAGTTACTGCGAGGTTGTTTAGAGAGTTTAACCCTTTCTCTGATGTCCCTAAGCCTTAGCAGGGGCGGATATTCAAAAAATTTTCAAAAATTGTGGCGACTTTTTTTTTAGGTTGGCCAAGTTGATTTTCCGATCTCTTCTAAGGCATTAAAAAGACGCTGTTTTGGCTAAATTTTCTGCGCCGCTGGCAAATTTTGAAAAAACAGGTTAAAAAAACCGTTTTTGGGCACTTTTTGAAAAACTTTGGCAAAAAATCGCGTTTTTTGGAGCCACAGGCGCTTTTAGAAAAATTTAAGGGCCAGTCGGCCCAAAATGGATTTCTTAAAAAGTTTCAGAGGGGGGACCCTTTGGGTCGGAAGGGGTTCGAATCCAAGAGTAAAAGGCGTCCAACCCATAGTTTTCTCATTCATTGACAGTGAAGTGGCTCAAAGTTCCTAATCTAAATATCCACTGGCAGGTCATATTATACTCCAGGTGTCCAAATTTCTCAGAATTTGATCTAGTGAATAAAATCCATGAGCTTGCATATGTTTCAGATGCTTTTTATGAGTAAGTTTTAACTAATATTTGGAGAAGCAATTAAGCCGAATTAAAAACACAAGTGTTTTTTTATCGAAGAGCCCATTTTTTCAGTAAAAAATCATTGCGAGGCCAAAATGTCTATTTTGTGAATTGCAAGCGGATTCCACAACAAGGATGCTCTCTTTATTCTTCTATTGTTCTTTCGTTTTTTACTACTACCACAAAAAATTAACATGTTTAAAGACTTGTATCTAGATTCCAGACGCCTACACACACCAAATTGTGGGATTATCCAATGCACAGTTTGTCCTATCGTGATGACATCCATTCTTGAAAAAGTGGCGGAAAAATACCAAGTACAGGTCACTAAACATCTACAAAACTGTTCGTAATCGCAGCTCGCATAGATATTGCGCCTAAACATTTTTGCCAATAAAAATGTGATCTGAACTTTTGTTGCTGAATGCGCATCAACTGATAATTCTCACTGCCTAAAGTTTTAACCTCATCCAGTTTCACCCGTTGACAATAGATTATATTATGATTTTAGTACCAGTCCTACTGAAAATGAGAAAAAACTTTTCATCATCAATAAGTAATCGATTTTCATCTCTCGCTTTCAAAACAAGTTATAATCAATTTGAAAACATAACAATCGATTTTTTTAATCGTTTTAAAATTTATAATGGAAAAAACTCCAATATAATCAGTTATAGTCAGCTTCATTTTTTTGTATGTTCACTTTGTCTTCGACTTTGCATCTGATTGGCGTGTAATTTATGCTTTTCATAGACGTTGGTTTATGTGAAAAATCGATTTGGCAATTTTATATCAAGTCAAGCCTGTAGTAATTTATATTCGTCACTTCTTCTCAATTAGATTTTCATGATGCACATTTTAAGTTTCTTGCAAACATCAAAACATCAGCTTTTTGTCCTTATTTAATTGGAACAGCTATTGTTCACCTACCGCGGGAAATTATTTTCAACTAAAGTGAAGAGATCTCTATGAAACTTTTGTTTCTAGGTAAACCTTTGTGTTCTGAAGTGAAGTGTGAGCAGACATCTCACTTTTGTGGAGTTTGTTTTTGATCAACGAAAAAGAGCCCATAGGTAATAATTAAAACTTATTTTTTTGTTACAACTTTTGGCAAAAAAGACATTATAATCAATTATAAATGATTTAAAAATTTTTTTCTGAATGAACTATAGTCAATAATAATGGATTACACAGAAGCGAAGCAGCAACAAGCAGCTCTATAATGTGCAATCAGAAAAAAAAAGAAATAGGCAGCAAAAATAAAAAAAATCGGCTACGTCTCGGGTTTGTTCTACGACCTACATCCACTTAAAGATAGTGAGTCTCACGTGGTAACCAATTAGCAAAAAATTGTAGCTTTTCTTTAAAAGCTATCACGCAACGAAACTTTTGAAAGTTTTTTTCTTTCTGAAACCAACCACGCGATGCGTCATCTTAAGTTTTTCCGAATAGTGAATTATTTTGCTACAAAAAACTTCAGATTTTATTTTGAAAAGCAAATCAGTTTGCAATAAAAATAAGTTTTCCTTAGCAAGCAAATCAAACGTTGAAACTCTGAGGTATTTCATTTTTTTATCAAAAACCAAACCATTTCGCGATGCAACTATGAAATAATTATTTCAAGTTCTTCAAAAGATTGAATCAACTCGTAAGAATTTTTAGTTTTATTTGTCCGTCTACTCAAAGAAATACTTTTTTCAAAAAATTCAAGTTAGTTACGCTAATCAATTGGCTAAAAAGTCAAGTTTTTCTTTTGAAGCATTTTAAGCGAGTGTTTTTTCAAGAGACTAGAAGCCTTTCACGCGATCAGTGGTCCCCATGTTTTAAGATAGAAAACAGTTTTGCGAGAACGAAGGCAATGTGTCAAGATATGTAAAAGGTTTCTCAATGAAACAAGATAGGTGTTTGGTTTCTAATGTTTTAAGATGTGTTATACCAAGGCTCAGATAATACGTTTCAGAAAATTTTCGGCTCTCGGTTTTTCCATGTTTTAAGATTTGCCTATGTATTAGGATTAGTTACAGAACATTAATGTTAAGATAGGGAATAGAATTCCTAAAAAATCAAGATAGGTTTGAGATGATAAGATGGCAAGTTTCAAAAAAATTTAGTGTTCAAACCTCAAAAAAAAATTGGCAGTCAATTTTACTAATACTGCAATGTTTACAATCCTCTACAGCCATTAAAAAAGTCTAAGTAATAGGATATGTTACACTAGTATTCTAACCAACAGAATTTATAATCAAGCTATAATGAATTTATTAATGAATTTATTACTATTATGAATTTATTCTTAATGGATTCGATCATTAAGAACTTCCCTTTTTGGGTAAAATTAAAAAAAAACTTTTTAGTTTCTTGTGTTCCGACTAAATAGATGGAGTTTTTGAATCCGGATTCCTCAGCTTCAAATTTGAAGCTTCATCATAAACTCTTCTGTATTTGGACATTGGTCCATCTCCACAACAACGAGAAATCTTTTGTTGAGTCCCTCGCTTGTAAATTTGAATTTGTAAGTTTCGCTATCATAGCAGCAATACGTCTTCCTGTACAGGTGCAATATTTCAGTACTGGCACAAAAAAAACTGTAAAACAAATGTTTCAATGTGTTTTGAAGAGCAAATCATTCGCAAAAAATTTAGTTTGGCTTGGCAAGCTGTTCGAGCAAAGAAAATCTGAAAATAACTCAAGTTAATGAAGCCAAAAGATCGGCAAATATCAAATTATTTTATTGGAGCCACTGAAGCATTGAAAAATTTCAAAATTTTTTTTTTCGAAAAATGAAACGTTTACCAAAATTTTTTCATTTTTTCAAAGAGCGAATCAGTTTGCAACAAAATAGTTTTCCATAGCACACAAATTCTTGCGGTAAAAGTCTGAAATACTTCAATTTATTTCATGGAACGAACCGTACTGAGACAAATTAATGTTTCTTTAAGTAAATTTTCAAGCAAGCAATTCAAGCGATAAAATTTTGAAAAAAAAATTTAAATTGCCAAAACAACGCATCAAATTGTGAAAAAATTTTTTTTTTCTTGGCAAGCTATTCATGCAAAGGAAATGATAAAAAACTTCAACTTAAATAAGCTAATCGATTAACGTAAAAATAGTTGTCGAAATACTGTAAATTCTAGCGTTGAAAAATTTTGAAAGAAAAGAAAGTTTTGTTTTCAAAAAGTAAACTGGTTTTATTAAACAAAATTGAGAGTTTTTCAAAAAGCGAATCAGCTTGTGACAAAAAATGTTTTGTTCTAGCAAGCACAGAAAATTTTTTTAAATGTGCTATTTATGCATTGAAAGGATTCAATTTTTTTCACGGAAACGCGCACCGTTTGATTAAAAAAACAACTATGTTTTTTTTTTTCAAAGCGCGAATCAGTTTTCGACAAAAAGACTCATTAGCCAGCAAGTTGAGCTGGCAAACTTCAGAATATACGAACTTTTTTCATAGACTGAACTGAACCCTATAGTGACAAATTAATGTATTTGAGAAAGCTCCTCATAGTTCAAAAATTTCGCAAAGACATCAAATATCGTGTAAGCAACTGATTTAATTGATGAAATTTTGAAAAAAATCGTCATCTTGTACAAAGGACGCAACATTTTGCACACAATAGTTTTCTTGGCAAGTTAATCTGGCAATAAAAATTTTAGGCAATTATAATCCAATTAAGCTAATCGGTTGGCCAAAAAGCTGAGTTTTTTTTATTGAACTCAATCAGGCATTGAAACGTTTCAAGTTTTTCCAAAATGCAAGCCGTGTTGCGAAAAAAAACCTTCCAGTCGCTCTTCAAAGAGAAACTCAGTTTGCGATAGACAAAAGTTTTCCTCAGTAAAAAAATCAAGATTTGAAAATTTAAATCGTTTCAAGTTTTTCCATAGACCGAAGCGTATCGCGGAAAATTACGTTTTTTTGTAGGCAAATCAGCTAATCGATTCAAAATTGATGTTTCAATTAGTTTCAAAAAGCAAATATTTGCGCAACAAAAATAAGTATTTTTTAGCAAAAAAATGTCTCGGTGGAACTTTGAGCTGCTTAAATTTTTTTCATAGACCAAACCGTAACGTGACAAGGTACGGTTTGTAAAAGGAGCTGTTTAAGCGATTAGTTCTTGAAACTTTTTGAGTTTTTGCTTGATGCCGAAACAATTTACGAATAATTATAGTTTTCTTAAGCAAGGTTTTCGAGCGATAAAACTACTAAATAAATGATTCAAGTTATTCAATAGAACAAACTAACTTAAAAAATTTTAAATATTTTTTGGCAAGCTATTCAAGCAGTGAAACTTTTTAAAATTTTTTACTAAAAAAAGCTAATTGATTGAAAAAAAAACACAAAATTTTTTAT